ATATATATATATATATATATATATATATATATATATGTATATATGTATATATGTATATGTATATATGTATATATATATTTACCCAGATCATCGTATTGAAAAAGTGTTTATTTTAATTTAGCTATCATTTTATCTTGTAGATTATATGTATACATCTGTTATGTGAAATAGCTTGTCCGGGGCAGTACTTAAGAAGCAACAAGCAAGATTCTGTGCAAGTGTATATATGTTTGTTTTCTGAAAATCCAGTTCTTCAGGTTTTGTAAAACACTTCTGCAATTTAAAAAATGTTTTGTGTTGCATTGTTTTAGGTACACCAACCCATTTATTTATGAAAGTGAAAATTCTTGTTTGAACTTTTTCAACTTTTTTGAACATTTTAAAAGTGATTATATCAGGATGACAGACAGTAATGAAGATCAGCGAATATTAACGATTCTTTCATGGAATGTAAACGGCTTTAACCGCAAAAGGTCTGAGGTGCTTCATCATTTAAGTCTTCTAAAGGCTGATGTGGTCTTTCTTCAAGAAACTCATGTCGGTCCAGATAGAATCTACTCAACTGGGAGCATCAAAATTCAAGATTTAGAATGCGATTACATGGCGGCATTCACCGTATTTAAAGGAAATTCACGAGGGGTGGCCGTACTTTTCAAAAACAACCTCGGATGTGGTGGTTTCAATGTCAATTGCGATGAAAAGGGAAGATTCATAATAATCTCATGTCAAATTTGGGGGCATGATTTCATATTTATCAACGTGTATAACTCAAATGACGAAAAACTTAAGCTGACCGATTTTACACAAATTTCAGCCTTCATCCCACATTCTGCACTTCTGGTGGTCGGTGGGGATTTTAACACAGTCATGGACGCTGACCTTGACAAAACCTCACATTTACGAAACCGAAGTCACAGAAAGACTTTCAATGCTCGCCAATGTTTTTTGGAAAACTTAAGCTTGGTGGATGTCTGGCGGTGTCTTTACCCAGAAGCAAAAAGCTTTACGTATTTCAATGGGAACGGTCATTCGAGATTGGACTACTTCTTTTTGCAAACTCACAATTTAACTAGAGTAATTGCCTGTAACATTCACAAGAGACCAATGTACTCGGATAAAGAAGAGTACGTTTCTGATCACACCCCAGTGTCAATTCAGATTCAGATGGATGGACCAAAATGGCAGTTTGATTCGTATCTCCTTGAAGATAAAGCATGTATGCAACAACTTTCAAGCATAATAAAGAAAATTTCACAAATAAATACCAAAAGGAATGAATACATGTGGCCAGGAGTGAAAGTCAGACTTGTATGTGAGGCAATAGTTTTTCAAAGACAAAGATCAAGACATTCAGAGATGATTGAACTTCCTCAAGAGATGGACCAAAGAGGTAGAGCTTTTCTTTTCCTGCTAGTTTTTTGTAAAATTGTTTAATATTTGTTTTGACATCATAATTTCTTTTTAAGGTTGTCCAAGTTCAGAATCATCCATTGAGGTTCTTCATACACCAAATACTTCATCCCAGAGTCTTCTGAACTTCTTGAATCATTTGCACCAAACTGAGAGATTCGAAGACATAAAATCCACCCTGATTACCGTTCTAAGTGAACCTGTTTCGAGAAAAGAGATTCTGGATGCTATACTGTCCTTGCCTCAGTCTGAGAATCTAACATCAGATGGACTAACAGTACATTTCTATAAATGTTATGCTTGTAAAATTATTGACCTCTTACAAGCATTTTTCAACCAAATATTTGACCTCAAGCCAATTAAACAAACAGTTTTTGAATCATTGAGCCAAGGCAAAAATGATCATACTTACAGCTATGATATTCAATATCGCTTCAGTCCGATTACAATAATGAATGTGGATTATAAAATTCTGGCTTTGATTCTGGCAGAGAGGTTGAAGAGTGTTATTGAACATATTTTAAATCCAGATCAAAGCAAACCACACATTTCTGTTCTAGACGGCGTCAGTGATAAAATTCCAGTGCTGATCATTTCATTAAAACTAGATCCAGGTGCACTGAAATGGCCATATTTGTTTAACAGCTTAAAGTCTGTGAACCTACCTGACCGGTTTAGATCCGTGTTGAAGCTGTTTTTGATAGCAGATCACAGATCACAAGGCTTGAGGGTGGGATGTCCACTGACTCCTTTACTAGTAAGCATCTGCCTTCTTCCTCTGATTAACTCCATTAACTGCGAGAACATGTTTTTGGGGCCTAAAGTTCAAGAAGAAACCATAAAGTCAGCCATTGATGAAGAAAGAGCCTTGATTTTTCTTTCCAATTCGAATGAAGTTTTGGATAGTTTTGAAAAGATGCTGAGGGATTTTATTGAGACGTCAGGCTTTATCATTGATGAACGCTGCTCTAAGGTATTAATGGCAGGTTCATCTGGCTTCAGTTTAGGCAAAGATAAACTTCAGTTGTTTAAGAGAACGGACAATGTATTATGTGGTTTCGAGCATGAAACGACATGATTCAATCGCTGGAGGATGCCAAGTCTCTCTGTGTTGTGGTTGGCGTCGTTTTGCTTTGATGGTCGCACGCTCATTTAATGAAATCTAGATCTGTTATAATGACTCCGATCCACGGAGTCGATTGCAAGAGTCATTCCTAATTTTCTAAACTCTTTAATAAAAAGTGAAGGTAAAATAAGTCTTGATAGATTATACTTTTATTTACATTATACTTTGCACCACTATAAAATGTGAAAAAAAGGCTAGTCGCCACCTACTGGTGTATCGATGTACAGAAAGCGTTCCCAACTGAATCTTTTTGTTGAACTAAATAAAATTATTCGAGTCAATGAAGTAGTCCCTTTTACTACTGTAGCTCTCTGTATTATTTTTCGCAAATCTAAGTATGTTTAAGGCTCTGCATACATTATATTTTTATTTGCAGATTCTGTCACATAATACAAGATGTGTGGTTTATAGCCGAAGACAGTATGTGCTATTTTACATTTTAAATTTACATTTACAACATTTAGAACAAAAAGCTGGTGCAAACATGTTGCTTGTTTGTTTTACATTTAATAATATTTTTACATGCTTAAAATGACCTAAAGAATCTACTTAAAATTGAATCAATAACTTATGTTGTACCAGTATAGTATTACATAAATCTCTATACGCAAATGAAAATACAAAAATCATAATCTGCCATTGAAATAAAATGCAAAGATGTCAAATCAAAGGCAGGTGGTTTATTGTGATCCATATCTATGTAAATATGCAGGTGAGTATGATTGGTATGTTTTCACTGCAACCAGCAGAGGGCAGAACAAGAAGATCTCAATGAATGCATCCGTGCTAAACCGGCTGGACAACCTCCAGCTGAGCCACACCATTGGCTAATATGTGGAATGCAAACAGATGATGTAGACTTTCCTGGTCACATCCTGATCAGGATGATGTGGAAGTGGGTTGGGTGTAGTTTTAGTTTCAGTGTGCAAGCTCATTACTGAGCTCAATGCAATAACTATAGGCCTATTGTTTGATTTAAGAAGCTGGAAATGTTTTTTGGTTCCTTATAAAGGTTTTCTAGTTTGATTTATTAACAAAAATGAAAGATGAATTTTCATTTCTTTTATTTTTCATTTTATTGCAAGATTATTTAGCAACTCATCATTGTAAGAGTTGTTCAATTGGGAACAAAGTTCAAGCCTAGTCAACCTACTTGCATAATCGGTGACAATAAATATTTGTGAACTCCACCAAGATGCAACTCATAATGGCTGTTCCACAAATACATATTTTAGAATGTTTATTTTATCCCCAAAAAATCAAGAAATTGGAGTGTTATCAAAAGGAACTACAGATCATACAAAAAAAAAGTCCATTCAAGAACAAAAATTCAGTATAGCTGAAAGTCTTGTATATGTGTGTGCTTTAAATGAAAGCTCCAGGATTTTGCCGGTGATCTTTCTGATTCCTGTATCTATGTGCTAACCAGACACCCAGAATCTGAAACAGGAAATATAACAAAATTTATATAAAAATGAATTTATTAACATCTCAACTTGACAGAAAACTAAGAAACAAGCACCAAACCTTAAATAAACTGACTGAACTGTTAACAGCTTGATTAAATATTTACATGTTTCATTTTACCTGTTTTCATAAACAAATGATGTCCAGTGTTTGCTCACCTCTGTAAAACTGAAAAACAGACTGACTCCTCCAACAAACTGTAAAGCGTCGTCAGCATAGGCCTGGATTATAACTGAACATGGTCTACATGTTTGATTCTTGAAACAGGTCTGATGTCAAAGAGAAGACCGAAATAAAGCAAAAAAATAATCTTTACAACCACAATAAAACTGTATGTTAGTTCATTGCATATAAACCAGATGATCTCATACTCAGGTGATCATCTCAGACTATTTGCTCAAGAGGTTAAAGAGTCTTGACAGTTATCATCGTAGAAGTATGTTTCATTTTGTCCACAGTGAGTAACTTAATTATGAACTATAAATAAAATGGAAGCCTTATAATAAATGAACCTAACATCTTGATGTACAAAAATAAAATATTTACCAAAGCTCACTATATAATCACATTCACCAACTATTTTTCTAGAAGCATAATGTTTTTCACATTAAGTTCAAGTAGCAGAAGACACTTCATAATTCATTAATCTTGGATTGAAAAGCAGAATAATAGTTATTACAGCGACACAGCTCTCATTGTAGTTAACTTCAAGGAAGTCACAGCAATCCAGCGATCTTTCCAAATCCTCCTGCATTGATTCAGACTTATTCCATCCTATCTCCAGGAGCAGGTTCTGAAGGAGAACAAAACATTTGAATTTCAAAACCCAGGAATGAGGAAACCAGTATCACCGTGTCAAAGTATTACAAACTATAATTACCTGCTGTTCTTTATTAATCGCCAAGCAGGCACATGATACTGAAAACTGCACCATGAATACCATGAAGAGAATGAGCATGTACTAAAGACCAGTTAAGGTTGTTTCACCATCATTTTGGAAAAAATTCAAAAGCTGTTGATAACAAAGGAAATCCGGTTCCTTTTAAAGGTTTTCTAGTTTGATTTATTAACAAAAATGAAAGATGAATTTTCATTTCTTTTATTTTTAATTTTATTGCAAGATTATTTAGCAACTCATCATTGTAAGAGTTGTTCAATTGGGAACAAAGTTCAAGCCTAGTCAACCTACTTGCATAATCGGTGACAATAAATATTTGTGAACTCCACCAAGATGCAACTCATAATGGCTGTTCCACAAATACATATTTTAGAATGTTTATTTTATCCCCAAAAAATCAAGAAATTGGAGTGTTATCAAAAGGAACTACAGATCATACAAAAAAAAAGTCCATTCAAGAACAAAAATTCAGTATAGCTGAAAGTCTTGTATATGTGTGTGCTTTAAATGAAAGCTCCAGGATTTTGCCGGTGATCTTTCTGATTCCTGTATCTATGTGCTAACCAGACACCCAGAATCTGAAACAGGAAATATAACAAAATTTATATAAAAATGAATTTATTAACATCTCAACTTGACAGAAAACTAAGAAACAAGCACCAAACCTTAAATAAACTGACTGAACTGTTAACAGCTTGATTAAATATTTACATGTTTAATTTTACCTGTTTTCATAAACAAATGATGTCCAGTGTTTGCTCACCTCTGTAAAACTGAAAAACAGACTGACTCCTCCAACAAACTGTAAAGCGTCGTCAGCATAGGCCTGGATTATAACTGAACATGGTCGACATGTTTGATCCTTGAAACAGGTCTGATGTCAAAGAGAAGACCGAAATAAAGCAAAAAAATAATCTTTACAACCACAATAAAACTGTATGTTAGTTCATTGCATATAAACCAGATGATCTCATACTCAGGTGATCATCTCAGACTATTTGCTCAAGAGGTTAAAGAGTCTTGACAGTTATCATCGTAGAAGTATGTTTCATTTTGTCCACAGTGAGTAACTTAATTATGAACTATAAATAAAATGGAAGCCTTATAATAAATGAACCTAACATCTTGATGTACAAAAATAAAATATTTACCAAAGCTCACTATATAATCACATTCACCAACTATTTTTCTAGAAGCATAATGTTTTTCACATTAAGTTCAAGTAGCAGAAGACACTTCATAATTCATTAATCTTGGATTGAAAAGCAGAATAATAGTTATTACAGCGACACAGCTCTCATTGTAGTTAACTTCAAGGAAGTCACAGCAATCCAGCGATCTTTCCAAATCCTCCTGCATTGATTCAGACTTATTCCATCCTATCTCCAGGAGCAGGTTCTGAAGGAGAACAAAACATTTGAATTTCAAAACCCAGGAATGAGGAAACCAGTATCACCGTGTCAAAGTATTACAAACTATAATTACCTGCTGTTCTTTATTAATCGCCAAGCAGGCACATGATACTGAAAACTGCACCATGAATACCATGAAGAGAATGAGCATGTACTAAAGACCAGTTAAGGTTGTTTCACCATCATTTTGGAAAAAATTCAAAAGCTGTTGATAACAAAGGAAATCCTTTCAAACACGAAAGCCAGCAAAACTGGTAAATGCAAGTTTAGGGCCCAAACTACAAACTAAGACTGTTTGACTGTGTTGAACAGAGATAAACCTCATATTTTGGATAAATATCAACAAAAAGGATCATATTGATAAGGAGAGAATTTCTTGAATGAGTAACTCGGAAGGATACGAAGAACAAGAGGACTTGATGATGCTTCACAGCTCCACACAATCCCATAATGGCCACGACGAAGAGAAACAATCCAACAGCAATGACAGCAGCCATCACCCTGAAACTAGAGACCAGTCCGAACCATTTGCCCCATGCTGCAACACCAATCATTAGAAGACTGACCATCTGAAAACAAGAAAAGATGGATGGTTTCACTTTAAGGAGTGTAGATGCTCAGAAAAGGCAATTATGTATATCAGCATAAAAAGACATTCTCATTAGTTTTTCCAATTTACAGCACAATTTAATGAACTTACATATTGTTATTGGCATTGTTATGGTAATGAATAATAGGAATATATGTAAAACAAACTGTTAAACTTTTAAATAAAGACAAAACGTATTGTTCATGTGAATAACAACAAGTCTTAAAGACTGTATGTATGTAAACCGTTAGACACTTACCACATAAATAAGGTTCAAGATACAAAGAGAAGTTTTGGAACAAACAAACCCACCACAAGCCATGATGAAATATCTAGTGTACACTTAAACCATAGTCCGCAAATATCCTCTATGTAGGACTTTCCGCTCTGAGGCAAGTCGTCTGGAGCTAGAAGTTGTCTAGGATTTGCTCAGGTAGACAAGTTTAACGCCATTGGTCCGTTCTTTATCTGTATGCAAATAAGCAAAGTCTCCATTTGTAGGCTACTGTTATTCCGAGGTGAAGCAATCATGGTAGGATGTCCGACTCATTCTGGCGAATCGGTTCTTTCGAACTGGTCGTTTGAAAGAACCTGTTCAAAGGTAGTTACACATGCCCGCAGTTCTGTCAGTTGTTCACTCAAGAACCGGTTAAACCGACTCAGTGGACAAATTGTTCAATCAAACGTGTGAATCATTAGGCTTGTTTGAGATGCACCTTGCCTTGCCTGAAATGAAGGCGAGAAGTAGGCGGCTGCAGTGAGGGGAGGAGTGAAATAAGCGCAGGCAAGACGGACAGTTCTGAACTCTCGAAGTGGAACGGATACCAACGAGATCAAAGGCGGATATCACGTTATTCTCACTCACGTGCTGTGCTGCTAATAAACATGATATAATTTCAGTTCTGTTGCTTTTATATGAAAATAAATATGATGAACAAGACACTCAAAGTGCTTGCTATTTAATTCCATACGAAAGGTGTATTTATCATCCATTTTTACTTTAATACAAACATGTATTTTTGATTTTTATAGAAATATGACAACAATCACATTATCTCACACAGAGATCGCGCTGTTATAGTGTTTGGGAACATTCATGCATAATTTAAATACATAATCATATGAAATCAGATAAAAATAAAATATTTTAGAAGAGAACCGCAGAATCACAGTTGTCTGAACCAATGAGCATTAAGCTGTGACGTCAGTCAGTCGTTTCCCATCATGCTTTTGATCAGCGCAGTCGGTGGAGAGCAACTGCGCTCGTCTGCATAATCTGACAGAGCCGCCTCGCCGTCGCGAGAGTTTTTTTGCACAGGTCAGCATGACATCAGAGCAAATCGGACGTAACTCGGACACTTTTCTAACCGGCATGCATCTCGCGGTGATCACCGGTGATCGATTCTGCGCAGAATTTGCTCATCTCAAACAAGCCTATTTTGTTACAGGTTTCCAATTCTTGGATTCTGAACGATTCTTGTATAGTTTTAAATATACAAATAGGTCTGTTTTTTTTGTCAAGTATGGTATAATATTTTTGTTACTTGTCATCTCATATGAACAATCCATGATTTTCAATCACTTTAAATGTGGGATTATTTAACACCTCTATCTTTCAATAATATCATTTTAATTTATCCAAACCCTAATTCTAGTAAGATGCGTATGTATTAGACACGCTTACATAAATGTCTCTTATTTTGAAAAAATGAAATATATTGATATACAGAATGAAAGTGCTAGACTTCATGGGACTGAAACACCACCAAACAGATGGGGTACACAAATGGTTAAACATAATAAAATAGTTTTTCACTACGCCCATACTTAGCACATTTACAAATTTAGTATTTTAAAGAGTTAATAGAGTTGTATATTACCATATATATATTTTTAAAAGAATCCTAAAACCACAACGGAAAGCGACACTTTATGTGATTACGCCCCTGTCTTTTGTTGCAGTTGGTTCAGTCCGTTTGCCGACGGTAGCGTGTTAACCCGTCAGTGCCAGGGGAGCAGGCAGTTAGTGGATCAATCACAGCACAGCAGAGCTGTCATATCCATCACAGTCAACGTATATATTGTTTATTAAAACCAAAAAGCGCCACTTAGACTATTATAATGTCTGCACCAAAGAAAGGAGACCTGACCGACACGGAGAAGGAGCTACTTCAAGTTATTGCTGCAGGTAATAATAGCATGATGCTAACAGGCTAACTGCAGATTAACACATTTTATCAGGTACGACTTCGTTTACAAAATCTGCAAGCTATGGTTACATAAATATACATAATCAATTCTCTGTTTTGATATGTTGCATGCTAAAACCTGCATATGTATTCAGTTAAAACTGTATATGACGGGTAACGGTATACAATTATATGATAAATGCATATACGTACCAGTAAAAGGTCGTTTAAAATTATTTAAGCATCAATATGTTTGTGTTGCTTAGTGTTGAATTCCTCAAAATACCATGCTGATTGTTTAGCATTAAATATGCATTGAGACTCAGTCTGATGTGTTATTCTTTACATTAAGGTTGGTCAGTGTCTGATAACTGGTTGAACATTTGTAGGTAATGTGCAAGAAGCCTCTAGACTGCTTGGATCCAAAGATGTCAGAGTAAACTGTCTGGATGAGGTAAGGAAATGAAGTGTCATTATGCATTTTAATAAAGAGGTTTAAATGTGGTTGAATTTATCACTTAGTGGTAGTTCTTTGTTCTTTTTAAACAATGCTTAGCTTCTGTATAGAAAACAGGCTGGGTAGAGTGACCTGTCCAAATCAGATGTCACTGGCACTTGAAGGCTTTCAAAGCAGCTGCCTGGAAATGATATTGATTGTCTTTCATTACGAGTCCTTCTGTTGGAGCTGAAAAGAAACCAAATAAACTAATAAAAAATGATGAACCAGTTACTTGTTGGATAGCAAATAAACAGTTTAGAATATTTTTTCTTTCACTTGATTTAAGGAATTGTTCACCCAAAAGTCAAAGATTGCTGAAAATGTACTCACCCTCAGGCCATCCAAGACATAGATGAGTTTGATTCTTC